CCGGGCAGTGCCACTGACTGAAATGTCTTTAGGCCATTCCCAAAGGGGGGACATAAACATCTCGAGTTCTTATGCACAGCAGAATTGTAATTGATAATTAGCTGATTCATCAATGTCATGCTCAAAACTGAGCCTGACCTGCAACAGGGAACTGCTGCTTTTTCTTTCCTAATCCTTATTATTGTCATTTTTTCCTCTACTTCTTTTGTATGTTTGTCACACTCTTGTGACCTGTTATTTCCGGGGTGCCTTGATAGTCGCAGAAGACGTTGTACAGTTGAAGCTAGAGAGGTGAGCAGAGTAAATCTGATTCCCTGAAAGGACTTCTCCGTTGACACCCACCCCTTGGTGCTCAAATGACCTTATGCAGTTGCAAGCGCCGTAAAAACCTTACTAAAACTAAAAACATCTGCTCCTCCAAGTCCTCACCTTCCCACTGTGGTGACCGTGTTTGTGTCTTTGACTGTCTTGTTTCCTATGTCCTCTCGACAGATGGTCCTGTTCGTCGTTCTCCGAGGATATCCCATCATCCCCTGTGCTGCAGCTGGCACTTCGGTGGCACTGAAACGCGCCGAGAACAAACATGTGCAGTTGACAAAAAGCTTACATTACTTTTTCTTTTCTTTTCTTTTTTTTTTTGGTGGATGGTTGGTGGGTGCTCTTTTATGCTTAGCTTTTTCTTTCCGGTCAAGCATCTATTGTCTTTATCTCCCCTCCTTTTTTCTTATGTTTGTTACTTTCTTGTAACCCCTCTAATTTTCGGCACTTACATGACTTTATTGTGTTGCAAGTGCCATAAAACACTTACTAAAATTTTTAAAAAAACACTTTCTTTTTTTTGGTCTTGTGTCCTGATTTTGGTGCCCATATTTGTAGGTTGGATAAAAATGTGCCAAAACGGTACAGATTGTTAGGTTTCAAGGAAAACACAACAAGAAAAAGGGGAATCGTTAGGCCTGTTATGACGATGACGATGATGATGATGATGATGATGATGATGATGATGATGATGATGATGATGATTATGATGACGCTCTAATTTTGTAAATGATGTGCAGGTTAATCTTGAAGTTAGTTTATTTCTTTATTTGGCCCTTACTCCAGATCTCCCAAGCTTACAATACTTTATTTACGACAATATCATGACAAACACATTTCTATTGCACTTTCCCTTAAGAAATCAGACCCGAAACATTTCGCATTTAAAGGTATAATTCTACAATTTAAATATACAGATTTAATTGTGGTCAACTCTGGTCGTTTGGCAATCTTTAAGTTTTAGTTAGAGTTTTACGGCACTTGCAACACAATGAGGTCATAGAAAAGTGCTGAAGATTAGGTGTGTTACAAGAGAGTAACAAACACAAAAAAGAAGGAGGAATGATAAAGATGATAGATGTTTGATAGGAAAGAAGGAGCAGATCACACTAGAGCACCCGCCAACCACCCGCTGGCAATCTCTGCTCCAGCAGAAAGATGGAGTGACTCAATAAAATACCCCCCCCCCCCCCCCATGGAGGAAACATACTTAGGCCTCTGGTCTTTTTCTACACAGTGCAGCAGAGCTACTGCCCGGATAATACATACACACACACATTCACACACACATATATGCAAATACACACACACACACACACACATGCACACACACACACACACACACACACATACAGACATACATTTATGCAAATACACATACACACACAAACACACACAAACACAATCACAAACCTACAAACACACATGTGTGCGCACGCACTCACATTCACACAAATACACACTTACACACACATTACACACAAATGCAGGCCTATGCACAGACACACAGACAACAAACACACACAAACACATCACAGACACACACAAACACCACACACACACACCATACACAACACAAAAGCACAAACACAAACAAACACACACCCCCTTCCCACCCTACATACACATACCTCCCCCCCT